ACGCTACATTGTCAGTGTTCCATGGGTGGCTCACATTCTAGTTAGTCTAATTTATCATAAATAGAGCTGAGGTGTATGTACCGGATTGGAATCATGAAATTGCTTTGTATTTATGAAATTTATAGACCAAGGGAATTTCTTCTGCTTAGTTTTCACAAAAATCTGAAAACTCTCTACCGATATGTGTTTACATCATCACCAAATGGAACATCACTTGGAATCTCTAAATGCTTGTTTTGAGTTGAGTTTGTAAGTTGAAGGATATCAGGCCATGAAACTCTGTCCTAACTTAATTGAAATTCAGTTACTTGTGTTGGATTTTTGAAATGTTCATGGCCTTTGTCACAATTTTTCCTGTATTGGATAGAAATACTTGACCTGTCTTAAAAAAAAAAGCTTTCAGAGTATTGGCTTATTTAAATTATGCATGTTATTATAAAAACAAATATAAAACAACTCAGAATTAGCCGTAAGAGAGCAGGAAAATCCCTCAGTTCCCACCATCCTCCAAGACACTGTGTGACTAGTGTTGATCATGATATTGTTACATATAAGCTGTCAAGGTCTGAGCCTTTTTTTTTTTTAAAGGTTGATTTATTTATACAAGCAGTGGGTACAGTCAGAAGCGCGGGAGGGTAAGAGGACCCACCAGAGCTAGAGCGGGGAGCAGAACAGGCAGAAGGACTGAAGCACGCTGCTGAGGGGAGCAGTGGGTGCGGCCGGAGAGGTCTACGTGCCATGTGGGACTCTCAACGGTGGCTGGGGATTGAACCTGTGCTGCAAAGGCTGCGGCAGCTTTGCAGCCCAGCGTTCAACCGCTGCGCCACCAGGGGAGGCCCAAGGTCTGAGGGTTTTTGCAAGTTTTTAGACACAGATTACCCATTATAAAATTTCAGGTTTCACATTTTGCCAGCTGGGTAGAGTTGTTTAGGATTGTTAGCTATTTTTGTTTTATAACAAGGTAGGTTCTTAGGGATTTTGATAGTTTGACTCTTAGGGGTAATCTTACTTTTCTTTTTAACTTTTTATATACTGAGGTTACAGACTACCTAGCACAGTGTGGAAATAGCTATTGTTTGGTTTGGTAGCCTTTCTGTATTTTCTACTGCTGTAACAAGTGCCCAAAAATTTGTGGCTTGAAATAAATTTATCTCGAGGTCAAAAGTCTGTCTCTTGAGCAAAACCCAAGGTACAGGCAGGGCTGCTTTCCTTCTGGAGACTTGGAAACCAGCTATTTCCTTGTCTTTTAGCTTGTGGAGGCCACCAGCATTTCTTTGCTCTTCATCTCTTCTATCTTCAAAGGGGCAACATGTCTTCTTCAAATCTCCAACTCTCCTGCCACCCTTCTTCACTTAAAAGGTCATTTATTTGTAATTATGTTCACTTGGATAATCTTCCCAGTTGAATACCTTTAATTTAACAACACCTGCAAAATCCCTTTTATAGGTTTCAGGGATTAGGGCATGGATATCTTTGTGGTGTAGGTAGAGCTTTCATTTAACCACCATGTTTTGTAATGGTGGAGTCCTACAGTGGCATTTACTTCAGCAAAAAGTTTAAGTCTGTCCTACTAGAATTGTACCTACTAAGGTATCCAGTGACCTGCATGTTTCTAACCAAGCAATCACTTTTCTTACTAAACCTCCAGCAGCACTCAATAGTTGTCCACTAGTTTTCGAAATACTTTTTTCCTCTTCTGTTTCTTAGCTGTTTCTGGCTGCTCCTGTGTAGTAGTCCCTCCATATCCACAGTTTCACTTTCTGTGGTTTCAGTTAACCATAGTGAACCATAGTCCAAAATTACTGCACATGAAATGTTTTGAGAAAGATATGTAGCTTTTGTCTGTGTATTCTAATTTTTTGTTATTGTTAATCTCTTGTGCCTAATGTATAAATGAAACATCACCGGTATCTCTATAGGAGAAACTATAGTGTATATGGAGTTTAGTATTACATATGGTTTCAGGTATCCACTGCTGTGCTTTTCTCCATCTGACTTAGAAATACTTTTCTAAGGGGTTGTTGATTTGTGAATGATTGCTGTTAGAAATCAGAGGATCAATGAGACACTGGACTAGATAAAATGAAACTTATGAAAAGACTGTAAAACAATGGGTATCACAAGAAAACAGCACACACAGCAGTATGTGTCCATTGACAAACCCTATAGCCTGTAGGGACCCAGTTCTCCATCATACTTTGTTACAGGATGAAGTAGCCCTTTGGAACTTAACATTTGGAGTACTCCTATCTCCCAGGCCAGGTAGGTTCTTGAGGCTTCAAGATAAATATGATATATTCCTAAGACTTTAATTTTAATTGAAGGAGTGGTGGTGGGAAAACATGTAATATATCTGGCAGTTTAACATTGACATTTAAAATCATATCCATAAAAAGGGCATGCAAAATCTGCATGAACTTAAAACTATAATACTTCATTCTTGACAGTTTTACTGTTGAGGCTATGACTCCAGATTGACACACATAGTTTACTTTCCTCTGCCCCAGGCTTAGTGATTGTTTACATTAGCCTGCAGAAATAGTCTTGAATGGAATTTGTTGATAATAGTTTCTAGAACATACCTGCTCCTTGAAATTCTGATTTAGCAAGGCTGTGATGGAGTCTAGAAACTACTTTAGAAAAAACTCTTGGGAGCCTCTAGTATAGTGGTGGTACTCCTCAGATCTTTCAGAGTCTTTGCCTTAGGGACACTTCAGAAGTTCCAGAAGGCAAAGTGAAACTTCGCAACATTTCTCCACCAAAGAAATTCAGGTATTTTTTGCATTCTATCCCCACTACCTGCTGCCATTTTACTTCAAAACTCTAGAGATTAATTCAGAGATTAATTCTAGAGATTAAACTACAGATTAATTCAGGCTCAGATTACAATAGGTCAATTTTAGAAAAAGTCCTTGAGGAATTCTTGTCAGATATATTGTATATTTGCTGTGAGAGGCAGCCCTGATTCTGGTTTTTCACTTGAAGTTGGGTGTCTCACAGCTTTTTGTTTATTTTAATACATTTACAGGATACAGGATGGTATAAAATTACTTAAAATCTGACTTAGAGTTGTACCTGTCCCTAAAAATAGAATTCCATGTATCATCTATATCTTCTAGGAATATCATTAGATTGGGTGTGATCTCTAAGCCAAAGATGTCTAGGAGCATCACGGGAAACTGGGGGGGTATTTTAATAAGAGGGTTAGTAATATGGAAAAAGATCAAGCAAGTGGGACATGGCTCTGCATTGGATGCTGGCAGAAAGTTGTGATAATTCTGTGACAGCATATTAATTTTTATCTACAGCACAAGAAGAATGGGATGAGGCTTAAACCAATTGGTGAAGGGACAGTCTCTTATCCTGGGACAGTCACAGAATAGGGGCCTGTTGGGTCATTTTTGTGGTTTGGAGGGTTCGTGTGTGTGTGCATACATGATTACCAGTGGTCTTGTTTTTGTTGATTCCTCACAGTCATAATGGCCTTGGCCTTGGCTGAGGTGGTGTGTGGTGATCAGTGGCATTACAGTTTAGCTGTGGGTGCAAGGCCAGCTCCTGGCTTTCAGGGCCTGCTCTTCTCTTTCCAGAGGTTAAAAGCAAAACAATGGTAACATGTTATTGTATGGAGAAAGACCATCTAGACACATCCAATAGTTATTCATCAACACTTATGGGTTGACAAGACTAGATGCAGCTCAGTGTAAGGAAATAAGACTAGGAGTACTTTTTCTGTTTAGCCCCATAATTGCTGGGTGAACCTCAAATTAATACTAGCAGTTTGCTTTTGTTGAGAACCTCTCATGTGCCATGACATATCCTGGGTACTTCACATACAAGTAAACTTTTCAGGCCAATGTATATTGATCATGCCCATTTTTACAGTTAAGTAGCAACATTCCTAGAAGCACCTATTTCTGAAGTGCAATTGCTGGTATATTAAAGAGAGGTTTAACCCATTTTGACCTTATAGTAAACCACACAGGATGCTTCTTTTTCAGAACTTTAGTGTCTGTAGGTGCTGCAATGGATATAAATTATGTATCTGGTAGTTAAGAGATGCAAATGCTATTATACATATTTTTGCAAGCACCCTAGCTCAATAACTGGCTCATGGTAGGAAACCATAATTAAGAGTTTTCTTTCAGCAGAGAGGCCTCTGATTGTGACCACAATAAGTTGACCACCAGGAATTTTAGACTCTTGGGCACAGAAAAGTCAGGCTAGGGGGAAAAAAAAAAATCACGGCCTCCCTGGTGGCACAAGGGGTTAAGATGTAACCTATGAAGCTATCTGCAGCCATTCCAGCACGAGTTCAATCCCCAGCCAGAGAGCTACCCACATGGTGAAGCAGACCTCTCCTGCCTCACCTGCTGCTCCCCTCAGCAGTGTATTTCAGTAGATATGCCTGTTCTGTTCCCCACTCTGCCTCTGGTGAATCCTCTCACCCCCCCCCACCTCTGACCTGTACCCCAGTTCTTATATACATAAATAAATAAATCTTTTAAAAAATCACTATCAGAGTTTTAGCGCTCCAAGAAATTGTCAGGGTCAGTTCTTCTAGAGAAGGAAAAGGAAGTTTAGGAAGGCAGTTGATGTGCCCCGTGTCAGAGCCAGGCTGGGATACTGGTCTTCTCACTCACATCTCACCTGGCCATTGTCTTCAGGCCACAGAGCAGCCTCTATAATCCGTATTAGCAGTTCCTGTGAGCTCCGGGGGGTTGGCTTTTGGGCGCCCTGAGAGGCTAAGGGAGCACAGGAGCCACGTGAGGCAGGGGCCGCAGCACCTGCACGTGGATGCTCTCCCCTGGTTCGGCAAGCTTACTGGTAAAAACTTTTGCACAGGTTGGCACTCAGTGCCGTGTGCGCCTAAGTAATCAAAGGGCTTTGCAGCCAGTGTTGGAGTTCGCGCGTGGCGGGGCGGCCCCGGAGAGCGCCCGCCCGGTCCCGCCCGCGCGATCCCTGCCGAGGCTCCGCCCCGGGAGCGGCGGGGCGGGCAGGAAGGAGGAAGGGCCGCCGAGGTGAGCGGGCGCCCTGAGCCGGCGTCTCTGCAGCCACCCTCGCCATGTCGGCGCGCAACCTGGGCACCGAGCTGGGTAAGGGCCACGCGGGGCGCCCCCTCCCCTCCAGCGCTTCCCAGCACCCCCTCGCCGGTCGTGGGGTCATCGCCGTCAGAGCCCTGGCCCGGGGTCTCGGAGATTGGGGTCGCGGGGCCGGCACCCACCCTAAGCAGAGGCCGATCAGGGAGACTTAATTCTAGGGCACCATGATCCCGCCGGCCTTGGCACCCAACCTTATTTTTGTAACCGAAGGGCACAGGGAAGGATTCGACTTTGATCTTCCTATTAACTCGTTCACCTACTAGCTCCCCTGTTGCAAAGAACAAAAATAAACCCAAGACCCCCACACAAACAAAAAACAAATTCAAAACCTTCATTTCCTAGCCTTATAGAATCCCTGTGCGATTTATTGCTGGATTTCCATAGATGACTTGAACACAGCTGTCCCTCAGAGCAGGTCATGTGGGTGGGAAGTTTGTCAGGTTTGTGAACTGCATAGTTAATTGTAAATTGTATATGATTTTAAAGGTACAAAGATTTGTAAAAGTGCCTGGGTTATTCCGCCAGTTTCATTTCATTGATATTATCAAATATAGTTGGGAAACTTCCTTCAGAGTTTGTAAAACGGTAAAAATGTTGTCATTCAAACAGCAAAACCATGATCCTGACAAAGGTTAAGTTTCTCAGTTTAAAAGCTTGGATATCTGAGTCTTCGAGTTTGCTGTCTGACTTTGGGCAAATTAATTAATCACTGCTTAAGTTTCTTCATCTGGAAATGGTAATAGTGATACCTACTTAGCTCATAAAGTGGTCTGGAAATCAGATGAGAGGGTGTCAAGTGTTTGGTCCCTACTAAGTGTAAATAATAGTATTCTATAGAAAGTTCTGTTAGGGGCTAATTTTCAGAAAACTAGTTATAAATTATATATATAACATAAAAGTTACTTTTTTAAAAAAGTGGCTGTTCTAATTAACAGTCTAGACTTCAAGAGGTGTAGCAGAACTTGTGCTGAATGGTAGAGAATGTCTTTATGATAGCTGATTTCCCCATCAAGTCACTGCCCTTTAGCACATTATGTTTTAAACCCTAGTTCTGTCTCTGGAACATGGACTTTAGTAATGAAGGAGTATTCCCTAGATTGGAAGATCTTGAAAGATGGGGGATGGGGAATAGGGATGGGGGATGGTCTTACTCATCTGGATATCCTTAGGCATATAGCTGTGTGACTTGTAAAGAGGTGAGGATGCTCTATTATTTTCCCAAACTTTCACATTTATTTTTCTTTCAAGAATTACAATTGAGCCCTTTAATTTTTTATTTGGTGCATTAATTGACATATAGCTTTTATTTCCTTAATTTGAAAGAATTAGAATCGCATCCATTTATTTGTTGAAAAGTACACTATATGCAAAAACCAGTTGCTGTGTAGATTAATAGTAAATGTGAATTTTATGCAGCTATTTAAATGAGCGTAATTTTCTTTTATTGTTTAAATAAAATCATGCATATTTTAAATATGTTTTTCCTTCATTGATATTAATCATTAATCCAGACAGAGGTCTAGCTTAAAATCCTAAATTTATTTGAATTTATGTATTTAAGAAAAAATTCTTTAATATTTATGCATTATGTTGTTACTTTTGTAGTTTTTCAATTGAAAGTCTTTTTAAATAAGCTGTTACAGTATGGTGATTTATAGAAAAGTTAATATTTTGGTCCTCATGAGTATTTGGTCTTCATCCACAGTTCCTGACTGAGTTTCTTAAACTGGAATCACCAGAGCTTTGAATTAGCTCCGAAGTGATGACATTGTCTCCTTCTGTGTTAATAATGGTAACTTTTGAAAAGCACCTGATTTGTGAGTTGGAGGTTGCTTGGAGAACCAATCCTGTCATTAAGGGTTGGCTCATCCAGTCCCTACCCCCGACCTCCAGGGCGATGCTGGAGGTTGAATTCAATGGCCAATGCATTAATCAGTCATGCCTAAATAAAGTAGCCCTCTTAAAAACCCAGAAGGAGGATCTTTGAAAATTCTAGGGTAAGATTCGCATCCTGGAGAATGTTTGGAAGTTCCATACTTGATCTCCAAACCTTGGCGTATGCATCTCTTTCATTTGGAATTTATTCTTCGGAAGAAATTGACGATCTAGTGAACAAACTGGCTTACTGAATTCTCTGAGTTGCACTAGCAAATTAACTGAACCTGAGGAAAGCCTGTCAGAATATCTGATCTACAGCCAGGTGGTCAGAAGCACAGACAACAGGCTTGCAGCTGCCTCTGAAGAGGATGGGAGACTGAGCTCTTTTCCTGTGAAACTTAAAAACACAGTCTCTGGATAGTGTTAAAACTGAGATGAATTCTCGCATCCTGATGGTGTCTGAGAATTGCTTGTTGAGATGAGAAAACCTTTATATACATTGAAGTTGGATCCAGAAACTCTATACAGTGTACTTCTTTTTTAAGGGAAAATAACTTATTCCCTGTCTTAATACAAATGGAATTCGTTTGTTGTAAAAATTTTAGAAAGTACAGTTAGCACACAAGAAAACCAAAATTATCACTAATCCAATTACTTATTTATATTTTAGTGTCTGTACCTCTACTTAAAAGAAGTGTGTGTATGTTTGAGACTGAACCTGACCCTCATGGTAAAATCCTTTAAGGAAACATTCTTTTATGGTGGCTTTTGGACATGTGAAAGAAGGAACCATGCCTCCTCTAACTTTAATATCAACTTGTATGTTTGTATTTGGTGATCAGTGTTGTCTGCCTAAGATCATTTCTTTTCTTTTTTTAAAGATTTATTTATTTATACATACAAGAACTGGGGTACAGGCCAGAGTTTTGGGAGGTGAGAGGATTCACCAGAGACATAGTGGGGAACAGAACAGGCAGATAGACTGAAATACACTGCTGAGGGGAGCAGCGGGCAAGTCAGGAGAAGTCTGCTGTGCCATATGGGTCACCTCCCTGGCCAGGGATTGAACTTGTGCTATAGTGGCTGTGGTGAGCTTCATAGGTTGCTTCTTAACCCCTTGCGCCACCAGAGAGGCCCCCCTAAGATATTTTCTACTAAGAATTTGACTCCGATTTTTTTCAACCTCAGATATAATGTTAACTTCTTTTTCTTTGGGCTGTGTTTGTACTAAGGGGGCAGGTGACAGCTGTTGTAGGAAGAGTTGTGATCAGTTTGGAGTTGGAAGAGAAGAAAACCTAAATCTGACCCTGCTATTGAGTGGCCTGTGGCTTTGGGCAAACCACTTCGTTTCTTTGAACTAGATAATGGTCCCAGTAATGCCCTGGACCAGCAGCATTAGCCTTTCCTGGGAGCTTATTAAAAATGCAAATTCATGGGCTCTTGGAGATCTTAATAAATCTGAAGCTCCAGGGTATGGTACCCCACATTCTTTGATTCTGAGGTGTACCCAGCTAACCCCTGATCTAATCTCAGTGGTGCTGTGGAATGCTATTGACCCCATTGAGATTCACCAATTCTTCTCTTTTTTCAAAAATTTATTTATTTATTTATCCAAGCACTGGGTACAGTCAGAAGCGCGGGAGGGTGAGAGAATTCACCAGAGCCAGAGCGGAGGACAGAACAGGCAGACTGACAAAGTACACTGCTGAGGGGAGCAGTGGGCAGCGGGAGAGGTCTGCGCGCCATGTGGGACCCTCGCCCGGTGGCCAGGGATCGAACCGGCGCTGCAGAGGCTGCAGAAGGCAGCTTCGCAACCCAGCACTCAACCACTGCGCCACCACTGCGCCACCGGGGAGGCCCCAATTCTTCTCTTGTCCTTGGGTCCTCTTAGCTTTTGCCTGAAATAGAGGTACAGGTGGGCAGTGATCTTTCTTTTGATCACTGATGTGTCCAAGGCACCCAGAATAGTGTCTGGCATACAGAAGGCACTCTTACATGTCTGCTAAGTGAAGAAATGAATTTAGAACTTCTTGTTTGGGGCATCTATCTGGGTCCCTGTGCGTGGACAGGTGTTGTAAGGTATTACATCTTCTCTCTTGTTTCTAAATAACATTAAAATTCAATTTTATTATTTTTGTCTTTAAAAATATCTCAAGAGGCTTATGCAGATTGTTGACAGTGGCTTCCTTTCAAGTGTGCTTTTCTTTGGAGGCATTTCTTTGGAAGTGAGGGTATTGTATCAGGGAACTTCTAAGCATCTTCCTGCTCTCTAGGTGTATATTAGTAAGCTCTTGTGTACCAAAAGGAAAATTTCAAAGAAAACTGAAAAACAACAGGAAAAAAAGTAATTCAACACTGATTTTTAATTGGCCAAGGATGGGGACAATTCTGTGGATTTCCTGTATTGCCTTGACAGGATTGTTTTAGGCATATATCCACAATTAAAGGATTCCTTAGGGATTATTAAGTAATGTACAGTCTGTTTTGATGTGTAGAGGCATTTTCTATAATCCAGGGCAAAACAAGCAGAGAGGACAGTATATGTAAAGCATGGATAAAAGAGATCAGCTTTGGCTGCTTGTCTAACCTAAAACATTGATGAGATTTTTGTATTTGAGGAAACACATTCCACAAGTGGTTATTGGATTCCCACTGTCTACTGGGTATTATAGACCTGGGCTCTGGTAATTTAACATACACACAGCTCTACTAGGACAGAGCTAGGTTTGGTTCAGAAGCTGGGCATCAAGCCAAAGTCACAATGAAAACACTTGTGAATGTGAAATGCACTTCTCCATTTAGTCTCTTTAAGAAACGAGATAGGTATGATTAATTCCTGCCTGAAATGGGTTGTGATAACAGAGCTTTCTGGCCCTCTTGCATTAAAACCTTTCATTTTTCTTTAAAAATTTACTCAGATAAAAATCAGGGATGGAGTGAGCTCATTTTGCCACTCCTAAGAGCTAGACTTTGGTGTTGAATTTCTGATTTTGATGGGTGATTTCCCACTGCAAAATTAGCAATTTAAAATTAAAAACAATCTTAATGGACTCATATCTTAAACTTTGGCAAAGTAGAGAACACTTGCACTTTTCTTTATTTGACATGTGCTTTGC